CCTGCCTGTGAGTAGCCTCTTCCCAAAGCCCCCTGGCACAGCCCCCGACTCGCCGAACAGCATGCACCTACCGCCAGTGACTTGCATCCGCTTGAACGGTAACCAGAAGCGAATGGTCACATGTAAAACATCCATTCAGGCACTTTGCATGGTTAAGTGAATATGTTAACAAGGTCGCAACAACGTGAAAGGAGAAGGAAAAAAAAAACTCCAACGAGCTGCCATTGTGGATCCATGTTTCCATGTATTAATTTAGTTTCATCTCTCCGATAGAGTGACTTGATTACCAGATTACTTTGGCTCTTGGCTTCTCATTGCATGTACCTTTTCCCTTCATGAAGATGACTGCTAAGCTATATAAAGACATGCTCAATCTTGAAATACCTTTACACTGTGCAGTACTGGACGAAGATGGCATGTTGTGCACTGTTGTAACAGAAGGAATAAGGTTCTTGATCCCAAGATGAAGTAAAACAGATTAGTTTATTGCATGCAAGAAACAACAAAACCGAAGTATTGTTCGATGTGCCGGTACAAACTTTTAGGTTATATAGTCCTTGCTTGCTGCTTCAGTCATTCGGTGTTATGGTAAGGGGGGGTCATGGTATTTGGCCAGTTAAGAGGCCCTGGCCAAATGGTCAGTTTAAGATTATGCCCCCAGGGGGTTCCTTGCTCGCATCTGGAATCCTTATCAGTTAACCCCCTTTTCCTGCCATAAACCCCTGTTGCTTAGAAGTCTAATTTTCAGGCAGAACTGACTTAAGTTATTAACCCTTTTAACATCTTGTCTCTTACTTCAGCACCAATGCCTGTTCTTTGTTTCTGCAGTCTGGAGGCAAGAGCAGTGCCACATTGCACTTGGCCCGGGCCGTGTGTCGCAGAGCAGAGCGGAGGTCAGTGCGGCTGCACAGCCAGCATTATTAACAGTAGCTGGGACTGGAACCCAAAGACATCGGGTATCAGGATAACTTTCAACATCTTGTAGCACATGGGGAAACTGCTTTCTCACTAGATTAGAATGATGTATAATGAAACTTCTCATGGTAGGTGCCCAGCATCAAAAGATTGGGCAAATAGTTCACAAACTCTAGGTCCTACCAGAAGAAAAAAAAAATTGAAAAGCAAAAAATGTATTTTGAGAAACCCATCGATATATTTTCCATGATGACTCATTCTGTATACTCTTTAAAAAAAGAAATGTTTAGGAATAATCTAAATAAGTAGTGTTTTGGAGAGTGGCTTAAACTTTCTCTCTTCTAGCGTGGCCCCGATTGTACGAGCAGGAGAAGCAGATGCCAACGTAGCCAAGTACCTGAACAGGTACGGTACATTTCGGGCAATTCTCTGCCTCCAGAGGTAGACTGAAGGACATCCTGCAGCAGTGTACCGCAACCCTGCATGAACAGTATAACATCACACATGAAGGAAGCTCTAGGTATGCTTTAAGGCGAACAGATTGGTGTTCCGAGTCGCTGAAAATTTTCCCTTGGAATTTGCTCGCAGGCTCAGCGATTACCTGTTCACGTTGGCCCGGTATGCAGCACTGAAAGAAGGAAAGAAAGAGATCATCTACAGGAGGCCAAAGGAAGAGGGAGAGAAATAACCCATCTGGGAAAGTCATTACGTCTGCACCTTGAAGAGGCCACCGTGTATATACGAGAGATGTGGCATGTTCAGTTTTTTCCTAAGTGTTGTTGCAATTTACTCAAAAATGTATATCTTTAATGAAAATGCAATGCATCCTGATTTTGAAAATACTTTCCAGGATCCATGTTCTTTTACTTTTGGCTAAATCTGGAAAAGAAAGTAAGGCATGGCTAGCACTTTCTTTACTATTTATTTTCAGACTCCCCAAGAATATTTTGTACAAATATATGTTTTATTTTATGCACAACATGCAAACAATGTGACAAACGTGTAAATCAATCTACACGGACCAGGCAGTTAAACAAGTGGCCTCTACATTAAGATTAAGCACTTCACAAAGAAATCAAGCCACCAAGTTAGAAACTGGCAACATCACAAGCAGGTATACAAGCAGCGCCTATGGGGAAAAAAAGACAACGGTATGATTCTGATCAAAGCAGCCAAAAAGTAAATGTTTAAAACCTGAATAGCTGGGAAATGTTAGGATACTGGTACAACTGGTTATAAATTCCTTTTACATTTGGAGGTGCAAAATCATTCAGATCTTAAATACATCAGCTTCACAGGTCCTTGAAACAGTCTCTCTCATTTAAGGTTTACAATACAGTTATCTCTTAAGTATTTCAGTCTGTTTGCTTTGTAGGAGACTATCAGTTACTATCAGCTCTGCACCCATCACATTTCTGTAACCGTTTTTGAAGAAATCCCCCTTTTCCTAAGTTTAAAGTTATGCAAACACTGCACAGATGCCTATATTATACCCGAAGGTGACTCTGTAAGCACTGCAAAATACCCTTAGGGTTGACCTCAGCCTCCCATACTTTAATATAACGTGACAACACTCCTACATTTGTGCGATACTCAATAGTGTGGTCTCTAAAGTAGCTTCAACATTGTGGGCATGCACTAGCGATTTAGTTACAGAAATAGTTTTGATGCGACGAGCATGCAGAACAGACTGGATAAGAACATAATTGTACTGCATTACAATGTCTAATCCTCCTTTAAAATTAGGGAAAGATTAAAATCCATCTAAAAGCGCAATATGTTTCTTAACCAAGAGTTAAATGCATTATCTACCTTCATCCTGAAGAGTCAATCTTATGTATGAAATCATTATTATTTCAAAACCAGTGAGGGAGAAATTTCTCAAACACTACATGACTTGTTTATCCATGACCACTGCCTACTTTCACTGAATTCAGATTTTTTCCATTTTAAGAGGGACTATGTCAAAAAACATTGCAATTTTTAGTAAAATATTACTGTTTGATTACTGTGTACCATTTGAAAATGCTAATCAAATACATGACCTTTTGTGCCTGCCTTCAAATTGTACATTTTCGGAATGCCGATAAAGCTAAACCACTTACAATGGTTTAGCAATGAATGTTGCACTTAAAATATAGCGGCACTATAGAGTGCTGATACAGATGGAAACAAATTTGCAAAGCACATCTTGTTAAAGAGGTTTGTAAATTTGTTCCTGCAATGTCAACCCAAGACCCCCCCCTTACACACAGAAACAGCATCACAAAGACAACAGACAGTGAACACCTAAGTCACCGGTAAGTGAACCCAGCTCCAAGACCTGTGAAGATACATGCCACACCTGTAGCTCGGTCCTGGCCAGTACACCTCGCGTCCTACAGTGTTAAATCTGGTGCCTTCTGCTCCATTTCAGCAAGGAAGCAGGTGGGTCACTAGACCAGTATACCTTCCTTCCCTTGCAAAAGGCATGTCTCTGAAAGACGCAAGACTCCAGGTGTGGGGTGCTCGGGCCCTCACAGGATCTGGCACCAGGCCTGGCTCTTGCGGGACAGAGAGCCGGCCCACATCATGAGGGACAGGCTGCGGTCCTCGTAGGGTGGGTAGCGCAGGTAGGTGACGCACTCGATCCGCGTGCCGCGGAGCACGCAGGACTTCTTGTGCGAGAACGTGTCGAAGCTGTAGCGCCCGTGGTAGGAGCCCATCCCGCTAGCACCTGTTGGCCCAGAGAGGACCAGGTTAGAAGAGCGAGCCGAAGTGAGCAGTGCTGGCTTTTGCAATAATCGTCTGTTGCAGAACGTCTGAATTCAAGTACAGCTTCAACCATTGTGCATTACCTGAATGGCCATGCTACTGAATATCACATTCATAAATTGGGGGTTTCCTGTAAGCAAGATGGACCCAAAGAGTCAAGGTTACCTACTCCTGTCCACGGAAAAATTCTACCAAATGTCTTCTAGGCCGAACTGGCATGTGTGGTCTGAACTTTGTCACTGTAGAACGTCAGAAGCAATGCATTCAGCCTCCATTTATGGATTGGCTTCCCCACTGATAGCTGGTGTGTGGTGAGCGGACTTGTACCATGCAGTGCTTTAAGTGTCCAGAAAAATCGCTGGTGTAAGAAATTAAGTATCTCTCAAGCTGCGAATGTTGACAAGGTGGTGTTTCGGGAGTAGGATTAAGATCTAAAACAGTAATACATAACTTTTATAGCCAAAGTTCACTTAACTTTTATACTAAAGCTTTTAATGAATTTACTCTTGGCATTACCATGTCAGCCTGCTTAAGCCCACCCCTAGCTTCAGTTGAGTATCACTATGAGTATTGAGCAGATTGTGGTACAGCACCTTTTCCTTTTATCAGATTGGGTTTAGGTCAATTTAAAATCTTAAATTTTGCCCAACACTGGAAAGAAATGCATAAGAGACATAAGGCAAATACCAAACTTCTCAAATGCCTCCATTCCTTACCGACTCCTCCAGATGGCATTGTGGCCATCATGGTCTGCAGAATGCTGTCATTGGAGCAAAAGCTTCCACTGGAGGTGCATTCCATCATCTGGGAAATAATCTGCAACAAACACCAAGAGGTTATTTCAGTCCCATCCCAGATGGAATACAGTAACACAGAGTTTGCTAGTTAGCTTTGGAGGCATTTCAATTTATTCAGCAAAATCTTTCCTTCTTTTATAATCCTATTCTCAGAATACGCCAGTTGGCCACTAAAATCCATGTAGGCTAAGCAGGTCCTGACTGTCTGCTTGCGTGTGCGAGTGCTGTACCTTGCTGTTGTTAGAGTAGACGTACAGACACAGAGGCTTCGGCTGCCGGCGAATGAAGGAGATGGCCTCTTCTGCGCTGTGTACGGTCAGGATGGGAAGAACTGGGCCCAAGACCTCCTGCTGCATGATGGGGTCCATCTCCTGCACATCTGTCAGCACTGTGGGAGCTGACGGGACAAGAGACTTTTCTAGATAAATAGCATTGATGGGTTTGCCATTATTCATGGTTCACACGTGTGAAAGGGCCAACGCAGTAAAGACTTGTTTTCGCAGTTGAAACCGAAGAGGGCCTACAGAGAAGCTTTCAGAACACACGTTAAGCTTTCACCTTCATTCAGCAACGAGACATCCTTTGTAGCGAAGCGCTAGAGAACTACAGTCAAATTGCTGTACTCATTGATTGGCAGTGGGGATCAGTTCGGTTCCCTTTAACTTTTTACACTGCAGGAACTGGAGCCCATTGCTTTGGAGAGCCATCGATTCTTGCACCGTTCCTCATAGCCTTGCACCTGCACCAGTATTACAGCTTTTGATGCATGTCTTTTTCCAGGCACGCTTACCTATGTATCTCTCGGCCTCATTCACCTGGCCCCCTACTGCCACTTTCCCGGAGCTCTGCAGCAGGTCACGGACGTGGGCGAAGTGCTCCGAGCTCACCAGACGCCCGAAGCTGCCGGACTGGCGGGGGTCGGGGCCATAGAAGTGCAGCAGGCATGCCCGCAAGGCCTGCACCAGCTTGTCCTTAACTTCGCCGTGACACAGCACGTAACCGGGCGCCGCCGCACTCTGGCCGGCGTTCTGGAAGCGCGCCCAGGCAATGCGCCGAGCGGCAGTGCTTACATCGCAGTCCCGGTCCACGTAACAGGGATTCTTTCCTCCCAGGACCAGAGTGACAGGCGTCAGTGTGGGGGCTGCTGCCTTCATCACCCTCCCCCCATCGACACCGCTGCCTGGAGGGCCAAGCAAAACCAGAGATCAGGTTGGCATTCGTCCTCGGGGACATTTCTGGGAAACTCGTCACCAGTTTTCAAATGAGGCAAAAGGGGTAGTTTGGAAAGCCTGAGGACATCTCTCTAAGCACTGCGGTGCATTGCAGATCAAGACAGAATCAATGCCAGTGGTAAATATTTTTTAATGCTAGCAAGATGGCATGTATAACATAAAAAAAGAATTACCCAAATGTGAAATAAAGGGGTTACCTGTGAAAAAGACGTGATCAAATTTGAGTTCCACCATGTCGGTGAGGTCTCCAGGCCCACCGCGGATCACATGATAGCACTCCTGAGACAAGAACCAGCATGAACACTGTTCTGGGGGGAGTGCTAAGCCCTTAGAGGGCTTAAAGGCTTTGCATTGGAGCATACATGCAAATAAGCATTTCATTGCACTTCTGCACATGACCAACGGAACTGAATGTGTACTACAGAACCTTACTGAAAGAGGATTTCCAATTTACAGATTTCCAAACCATTTACGTAGCAAAGAACAACCATTTCCTGACCTGATTCATCATTCTTAAATTTAGTGCCTGTGCAAGTGTCCATTAATTAACTTAATGTCCTCTGAAGAGCCCCATTAAAGTAGCTGTTAAGCAATTAATGAGCCTCCAGAAGCCCTGGCATCATGGTCTGTTAAATCTGATGCACAGTGGATGGAGTTCAATTCTTCATTAAGATGACGAGAGAGGCAGCCCATGCAGGGGAGTTGTCCGATTAAGGTCCAGAAACTCACATTGTCCAGGTAGGAGGGGAGAAGCCTCTGTAGCAGCTCGGCAGCATGAGAGGTGATCTCAGGGGGATTAATGATAACACAGTTGCCTGGGAAACACAATAAAACACACAGCAAGCTCTCTCCACCTTGACGTGGATATCCACCCAAGAATATTAATCTTTGGTTGTTAATGCATGTGAAAAGGGAGCTAATGGGAAACTAAAGTCACGTTTCAATGGGGAATAACCAAGAAAAAGCAATGTTCTGCATTATTCTTTACAGCCACCCATCTCCTAGTTTTTTAGGTCAACTACGTGGATAAAACTTCTGCTAGAATATAAACAAACTCTATAGCTGTCAACGTAACTAGGCTGTAGTGTAAAACACTACCAGTAGGTATTTTACATCGTCAGACACACTAAGGTAACATCTCTAGGTGCGAGCAAATACATTTTTTCTTCAGGTAGATCCAGGACTGACTAACGCGCTCTTTCAAATCCTCATAACCCCCCGACTGCGTGTCCGGGGAACCCCGGGCATTGCAGGTGTCCTACCTGCGGCTATAGCACCAACCAGTGGGACAAGGCACAGCTGGATAGGGCTGCTCCAGGCCGCAACGATCAGGACCACCCCCAGGGGCTCGCTCACCACGAAACACTCATCCAGCGAGGTGGTCTGTCACAGAAAGAAACAGCCAGCCTCACAGTGGGGCACCGCAGGCCCTGCTATTCCACAGCAAACACCTCCACCTGCTGGCACACCGTGTTTCTGACAAACGGGAACTGAGACAACTAACAAGGTTATCCCCCCCAACAAACAACACACATTTGGGTATTTAAGATTATTTAAAGCTTGGGTTTACTTGTGTATAACTGGTTTGTAGGAAGTATAAGTTACTTTTTTCCCCCCTCCCTGAAACTTTTGTCAGTTCTCAAAGATTCAATTCCTTCAATACACTTTAAACCAGAACGTCGACCTACCGGAATGAGATCCCAAAGGTTTCTATAAGACATTTTTCACAAACTCTTATTTTCCCCATTCCTAGCCGGCACTAATCCAGACGCGTTTTCCCAACACAATTCTGCAGTTACCAAAGCACACGAGGCAGAAAGGCAGACAGACCCCAGTTAAACCCATGGCGAGGGGAACAAGCTGGAGCCAGAGTAATCCTTGGCACACAGCGCACAATGCACCGTTTTGTAAGACAGGCAAATTGCACAATGTTTTGCTACACAGATTTACGAAGTTGAACGGTTTCTTATCCTTTTACTTCAGGAGAACCCATGAGCTCCCCCCCCCCAACGTAATCCGAGATCCAAGTTCCTTCATAAGACGACTACATAACTGTGACATTATGTAACACTTTAGTCCTACCAGACACTGCACGCCAAGGGTCAATCGTGAGGGGAATAGGGTGGCACACAGGCACTTTTCCAGCAAACCCCACACAAACAGTAAGAGGGCAGTGTGGTGGCTGTGTGGTTCAGGATCTGCGCCTGTGGCTGGAAGCTTGCCGGTTTGAATCCCAAGGCCAGCAGAGGAATCCTACTCCGTTTGGGCCCCTGAGCAAGGCCCTTAACCCCAGCTGCTCCAGGGGGGGCCGTATAAATGGCTGACCCTGCGCTCTGACCCCAAGTTTCTCTCTCCCTGTCCTTGTGTCTCATGGAGAGCAAGCTGGGGTATGCGAAAAGAATATCCTCATGCAAGAAGCTGTATATGGCCAATAAAGTGATCTTAAAAAACAAAAAGAGTACCAGGGTGCGCTCCACGCGCTCCGGCTCCATCCATTTCTTCAGGTTGTTGATGGCGAAGAGGGCCTCGTTCTTCACCAGCATCACCTCCGACAGCAAGGTCTCAAAGCGGGGCTGCCGAGGGAGGAGGGATCCACTTTTCTAGCAGAACACTTAAGCACGCCACCGTGCAGTGTTGCAAGGAACAGAGCACCAATGCCAAATGGAAGTCATACTGTAATGAGCGTTTTGAGAGGGCTGCGTTTAAAGGCTTTAAGGAAAAGGTTTATGATGGCCCAGAGGGTTAAAATTAATCAAAAATAGGCTTTCATTACACTTCACCTGCACAAAACCTGGTCGAAAGGGGCTTCTTATGAACTACTGATTCGAACAATAAAAATACAAGTGAGGCAGCCAAGAGGACGTTGGCCACAAACACCTGTTTCAACACGGATAAAGAAATTCACACCCGCATTAACAGTTTTAAAAGGCAGTTCTGTTTTAATGCAAGTGGTCACAGGTTTTGTGCCGCTTTGACCTCTTGTACAATAATCCTCTGCTGTACTGCTTGAGCTCTCGATCTCGCATAAGCCACCAGCCAGCTCAATATGCCGTTTGCCCGAGGCAGAACCGGCTACAAGTCTGAACTGGCATGCTCTGCAAGTCGGCACCCGGAGACCGCCGTGCCCACCTTGTGGAGGTCTCTGGAGAGGGCGTCCACAAACTCATTCTCGTGATCCCCCAGCATACGCAC